GCTGATAGTTTCTAAAGAAACTGTTTGGAGCTGCGTCGGTGGGGGTAACGAAATAATTTGGATATATCAACAAAGTTGAAATGGTAAATTGGCCACCGTAACGATTGCAAAAGCTGACGTTTCGAGAGTTAGCCCTTCGTCGTTAGCCCTTCGCTCCGACCAAGGGCTAGCGCTCGAAACGTCAGCTTTTGCAATCGTTACGGTGGCCAATTTACCATTTCAACTTTGTTGATATATCCAAATTATAAGTGTACATAACAACTTTAAGTAATGCTTTTTCTTGTTTTTATTCAATTATGCGATTCAAGGAAAATCCATTACTTGACTCGTGAATTCCGCGTTAAATTGCACGCGAAAACCGATATCGCACTCATCGCTTCGTGATTTGTGCGGTGTCGGTTTTCGCGTGTAATTTAATGCGGAATTTCCTCGACAAGTAATGAATTTTCCTAGAAATTGGTCGCCAGAAATGAAATTTTGGAGGGGTGATGATATCTAGAGAGGGCGATTTTTTTTTTTTTTTTTTAATATTAATAGCTAGCTACTGTGCTAAGATAATCAGAGATTTCTTGCGAATAGTTTATTAGTAGAATCATGTTTGGAAGCGAGTTTAAGTCTCATTAGTTTCCTCTAACTATTCAAGATATACTCGTACAATTCTAGTAACTAGGCCGTGGACGTTGTTTTTAAAAAGGAGTAGAAACTGCTTTCGACAAGTTTGAGATAGACAGCTATCTTTTCCTCCTCGACTTTTAAAATATAACCTTATTTTAATGGCTGTTTCTTTTATTTCCAGGCCGAGGACTCTTAAGCGAACTTATTTCCCACAATGGAGTAAATAGAAATGAAGTTCTTGGAAAAGAAAATCGCACACTGATTGACAGGTAGATATGCTTCAACTGAGAATTTTGACATGTTTTTTTATGCGGATCGGTTTTCAAGGGAACCGCACTGTTCTCACAGTCTTTCTTGGTAACTAGGTGTAATAAAGATAGGTGCACAGTAAGAGATTACCTCTTATTTCAAATTGTTCTTCTCTGAGAGCGCTATCGTTAAAGTTTTTTATGACGGGATTTTCAGTCTTTTGTACGCATGCCTATCAAAGTGCTCTGGTGGTAAAATTTACAGAATGAAATATATTTAGATAAGTATGCCCTCGTACCATGATGGAACGAGGTAATTTTCAGTGCTCGAGGGTTTTGTTTTTGATGAAATAGTTGCTAGAAGTTAGGGTAAGATTCCATTTCCACGAAAGCAAGAGGCGACGATGCCTTTTAGTGAATCACAATTGGGACCGAGAGCGTGGCGACTCAAATATTTCAATGCCAGAGCAATAGCTCTGCATTGACGTTTTACAACTGTACATTTTCTCGTCGTCCTCTAGCAAACAATGGAGAAAATGCCAGTGTTTTTATGGCCTGAAAACGGAAGCATCGATGGTGAATTATTTTTGTCCACGCTATTGCGGACTGATCGCTACCCTAAAAAGGAAGTTTGGCACCGTCGCTAAACTCTCAGGGCAAATCTGAATTCATCTTTTATACAACATTTCCAAATTTTGCGCCGCCGTCAGGGCGGCTAAACTCCTCATTAAATGGTTTTTCCATTCGTCATGAGGAGGTTACGGAGGGTGCATCCATTTAAGGTCAGACAGTGGACTTAACTTGAGTGGGCATTCATATTCACTTCCGTTATATTTCGCTAATTTGTCGAAGTAACCTTTTCCTTTATTGCTGAAAGGAGTGCCAACTAATAATGTCGCCGGAAAAACAAAATTCATGTACGTGCCCATTCTAAACCATGTACATATATTCCAGTATGAATGCTTCCTGATTCATCTAAAAGACTTGATAACTTTGCCCGGCGGTACTTCGTCATCATAGCTGAAACTGGTTCACGGCCACTGCATTTAGCGTTTATTATGTCATCCCTGTTTTTGTGAGACAAGATTTCTAGCGTTTTTCCGTGTTTCTGTTTGCCGAGCGCTCAAGCACGTATCAGTATGCAAAGCGTAACTGTACAGTAGTTTGTTTTGTTCTTCCGGTCACCAACGAGCAACAACGTTTTTTTTCGCTGGCCCACTGTCATGTTTCCACAACGGCGCTTGATGCGTTAATCCAGACAAAAAATGAACGAATGTTCTGTACTTTCCTTCAAAGACTGCGCAATACTTCTAAGAAGGAAGTTCTTCATAAATCATCTGGTTCGAAACGGTGATGTAAAATGTTTATCATAGTGAAAGGCGATTGAAGAGATTATTTAATTAACCGCTTTAGAGCTTTGAACATTCCTCTAGCGGTCTCCGATGTCACTGAACCGTCAAATTAAAAAAAATATTGACGATTCCACTTTTTCCTCGGCTTTTCATACCGCCTGGCAAGGCAGTCGTTTTCTGTTTATTAAAGGAACAAACGGATAACTCTGCAGTCACCATTCTATATTATCCCATCCTGAAACAACCACTAACCACAAATCAGTCCGTTCTATTTGCGGGGTTTTCAATCAGGATTCGTGAGACCTTTTTCTTGGCTTCGTTTGGTCAGTCGTTTTTGAAATAGTGCTTATTCTTTTTCGGCTTTTTCTTTCGGTCTCGAAATGCTTCCTTGGGTTTCAAACCCAATCACTATTGCGCTGCAATCTCAAGCAAACTCACTCGTTGCCTAGATACCGACGTTGTCAAAGGTTACGTGAAGTAAAGTTCTGAAACTTTACTGTGAAAAAGTTAACACTTCCCGAATCTTTAAATTCTTCTCAAAACTTCTCAACATTTTATTTCAATGTTTTTGTGACGCTTTTCCCTGTGGATATATATTTTTGTTTTTGTCGGCGGTTTGTAGGCTCAGCAGTGTCCGTTTGGTCGATGACAAAGCAAAGAAATTAAACTCACAGAGCCACTTTATTTCCTGAGTGGTAAAAAAACGGAAGCTCGATATTCCCGAGTAACGCTAATTTAGACATTTTTATGAAACAACTTGAGTGGGTTGAATTATGACGTCACGAAGAGAATCAGACATCAACTAATAACTCTGATTTTACTCACTTTCCCACCAATCTTACGCGCTCTCTGGTTCACAGATTATGATCAGTTTATGACTTTAGTGTGAAATCGGCTTAAAGCAACGGCTATTAGTGTTATTATTATTATTATTATTATTATTATTATTATTATTATTATTATTATTATTATTAGTGTCTATTGAAAAAGGAACCTCGATACGCGGAAAATTGATATTTGACATTTTCCGTGACGATTTTCATTTAGAACTTGAAGTTTCAAAGAGGCAATTAGTAGGTGAGGAGTTAAGATGGAAAAGTTTCTTGGCTTAGTTTGGACATCCTGAAGGTCTTCTGGGCTCGACTTCTACCGCTCTCTGGAGTCCGTCCCCGCGGGCTTACTAGTAACCCTATACAATGGGGTGTTGGTCACACCACAGGAACCTTAAGAGGTTTTTTTTTTTTTTGTGGATGTTCCTCATGTGTTGCAAGTAAGACACTTGCGTCGATAATACATTACATCCTTATAGACACGTGACATTCCAGTTTTAGGCCAATGTCTTTGAATTCTCAGCGATATTTGGGGATGGAGTGCTTAACGCACTTATGGGAGTAAAATGAAACCACGTCTACTTGGTGTTTAAAATAGTAAAACGCCTGACATTTTTTTGGTCGAAAAATTCCGGAATTTAATATTTATCTTAGGTTTCGTGGGTCAAGGGTAAAAGCTTTGCGTTGGAATCAAAATGATCAAGTTACTCTGTCATGTGCACGCGTGTCTGTCTGATCGCATGATGTCCATGAAAAAAATAAAAATTATTCTTAAAAAATAAGCCTTGATTATCGTGTTCATAATTAAGTGAAGCTCAGGTTTGCAATTAAACCACATAATAGATTCTCGAGGGCACAATTCCTGTTTTATTTCCGAAGATTGGCCCCTCTTGAAAGGGTCCTAACTGCATTTGCATGTGGTTTTACCTTGAACGATATGTTGTTTTCTCCTGAACAATGGTTTATTTGCCAACCTTCGTCATTCGGCACATAAGAGCCAGTTTTGCGTGACGGCTTCTCAGTAAATCGGAAGTTCAATGTCCGCTCTCGTGGGAAACACGGGCACAAAATTATCTTTCGTTTAGTCAGCCAGATATCTTTCATGCTATCGTGTTCGCGCGTTGTCGTGCGTAACATTAGAAGCTCTGTATAGACTTACGAATTCACAGCCCCAGGGGAAAATATTTCTCCTTGTTTTCCGTGAAATTCCGTCTTCAAAACTACGGACTGCCAAAATAAAATTAGAAAAATTAACTGCTTCCTTGTTGTTTACAGACCACTAATTTGGGAAAACCGGAATCTGCGAGGCTTTTTTTTTCTGTGCACTAGCATTTTTCTTCATATAGTTTTTTTTACTGTTTACAAAGAACGTATCGTGGCATGATTCGACATTCTTTTGTTTGCGCATGCTTATTTGTGGGTTCAGTCGAAACAAAGATGAGCTATAAATATTGCTGTTGACCTGTTGAGTAATACACTGTCGAGTAGGACACCTTTCACAATAAACTCTAACTGGGATAGATTGCGTATTTATTCGGTCGAAAAAAGAACCTTAACGAAAACCTGCGTTGGCGTTCTAACACGAAACTCGTGAAAAATACCGTCTGGTCTGAAACGCTTCCTCAAGGGAATTTGATCCGAATTTGCATGTTCAAATTACGTGAAATAAAGTGTAAACACGCCATAGATGATTCAAATTCCTGCCTTGTGACAGTCAATATTTTATTGCTCAATGTCTGTCAAGAGATCCACTGACGCCATCGCTGACAAAAGAATAATTCATTGCCAAACAGGATTTGTTTCAAATGCAATTTATTGTATCCGGCGTCAAAGCGTTCTACCACACAAAGGTGCGCATAATAATGACCTTTAATATTCCGGAAAGAAAGCTTATGTCAACTAACACAAGAGCTTGTGGTTTTGTTAGTACTCGTTTGCCCTTTGCCTGGGGTTGGTAGCCGTGGAAATGCTTACGTCATCCAATTGAATTCTATACATAATTTACATGCGCAAGTGCTTTTGTTTCGCGGAATTCGCTGAAAATAACACTTCCTTTGTCTTAATAATTCCTGTGTTGCTTGTAACCCTTCGCATGATATTCTCTCGCTGGATTTTATTGTTGTTACGTTAAAATTTGCCTTTCCACGGTTGAATTTTCTTTCGTCTTCCGGAGCAGACATTTTCCCCTGAAATCCGTTGTCAAGTCACGGCGGAAATGAGCCGTAGGTCAGGTGATCACATGCTACGCAGACAAAGTAAATTGAATATTCAATTTGTTGTCGGCGCTTTAGAACGTAAATTGCGCATTTGTTTGGGCTGAAAATTCGTCTATAATTCGATTTCTATATCGTGTCCATGCCGTAAATATATTTGTCTGAATTCCTTACTCCCGCGGGATTAGTTCTGGTGTGGAAGTATTCCGTAATTTATCAATCTGTGACACGACACGCCCTGTAACTTTAGTCCATCACGACTGCTGTGACGTCACAGGAAGTGTGTTCACTCATTGTTTTGACGTATTACATTAGTGCGCGGCTCGGTCACTGATATGATAATTTCTCAACGAACCTAAATTTAGACTTTTAGAGGGCTCAGAGGGTGATCGAATTTCGCGTCACATATTTATTTGATAGCAATTGTTTCAACTCGTTTCTTCGTTTCGCGTAGAAGAGTTCTAAGTCATTCTGAAGGGAATTTTTCGAGAAGGAACCCGCTTCGATTGAGCAGATTAACGACGAGAAATTTTTTTAGCCAGCACACGTGCCGTGGATAACGTTTCAATTGCAACATCGTGAAGGCAGACTGTCATCTTCATATTTCACGGTTGCTCTCGTGATGGAAGAAGGAACTGGATAAACCAGACAGGCAATTTCGCGTTTGTTGAGTAGAGGATTGTAGTTTCGCTTACTACTGAAGAGCGCTTTCGGAAAACGACCGTTAATTTTGATTCTGGTGAACAGTAGTTCGCGAAATGACGACTAACCCCCGCTTTCATCGACAACACTGTTTCTTATGCGATCTTCCGCACTCACCGTGGGCAATCCTTCAGGATTTCAGCGAACCTGTTTGTCGTGGCTGTTGTAATTACGAAGGGCCTGATCGAATTGAGGATGTAATACATTACTCGAGAATTTTAAGACGAACGTGGGAAAATAACGAGCTAGCGCATAGAAATCGGGGAGCGAAAACAGAACGCTTGAATTCAGCGGGATCGTCTATATCTTCCACTCCAAGTCCGCCACCCACCAACGGTACCAACTACACGGCACCATATTCAGAGCAAAGAAAAGGAGCTGGGAAACATCAGAATGCCGTCAGGCATAGCGAGGAAGGCATGGAAAATTCTCATGGACACGGGGGTGGCGAAGCTGTAAATGGACCTGGCTCGAAAGCAAATCGACCTCCAGGAAATATTGGTTCTCGCGAAATGGAAAGACGAGGGTCTGGTTTCAACATGGAAGACGCTAGGCATTCGCTGCCAAACGGAAATGCGTTACAAAGGCATCATCCCCCCTTGACCCCAAACGGACCTCAGCAGAATTTTGTCGATGATGGACAACGGCTGGAACTCATAAGGGAAACACTAGCTAGTCTGAACAGATCTTGCCCGTTTGATATCAGATTCAAAAAAGATCATGGTTATGTCGGCCGCGTGTTTGCTTTCGACGTTAGCTGTAAGCCTGGGGTTGACTATGAACTTAAAATTTTCATCGAGTACCCTCGAGGCTCTGGTTGCGTTTTTCAAAGCGCATCAGGAGTCGCCAAACAGATGTACATGGAGTCTTTGAAGGAAATGGCAAAGCCACTTTCTTCTGGGTTCAAGTATTTAGAGTACGAGAAAGATCGTTCCAAAGGGGAATGGCGTTTGCTGGGAGAATTTCTTCCTGAACCGGTGCGATTGTTCAAGGAAGCTGTCAATCACGAATTTCTCGCCAAACCTCAGCTTGATGCGGAATTTCCAGTTCTACCCAATGTGAATCTCAGCTTCAATCGCTCAGGCCCCCAGTATGCGAGAAAGCGAAAAGGTGCTATTGATTTAGAAGAATTTGAGGTAGCAGCTGGAAAACGTGCAGGAGCCATGCATGGGCGCATGACTCGGGATGATGCCTTGCACAGCGTTTGGGTGCAAAATCAAACAGCTGATGGTGTCAAACTACCAGTTCATTTGCCAGGAACACCACTTCCCCCAGGGACCCCAGTCAGTTCTATACCATCTGCCTCAGTTCCACCCATGGTGTCACTGGCTGTCTCAAAAGGTGCACCGAGCCTAGCAGTGGCTGAACATCCCCGTACACAAGTAAAATCTCCTATGGGCACCATGATGAATCGATTTGAAATACCACCCACCTCAGTGCTTCGTGAAGATTCGAGGAATGGTCCGAATACTCTTGTTGCTGGTTCACCAGGCAGTGAGAGATTGTCACCACGCCCACATCAATCGCCCAGACCCTCACCTAGCTCTGGTGGAGCTAAAGGCCCAGATGTAGCTGAAGGTGACTTGAAGGGAAGGGGCTCCACAGTGAATATTCTGACTTGTAGTCTTTGTCGTGACAAGCTTGAAGACACCCACTTTGTGCAGTGCCCATCTGTTCCTCACCACAAATTCTGTTTCCCTTGTTCACGTGAAAGTATCAAGAAGCAAGGAGCTGGTTCAGAAGTTTTCTGTCCAAGCGGAGAGAGATGTCCATTACAAGGCAGTGATTTGCCTTGGGCATTCATGCAAGGAGAAATTGCAACCATTCTTGGAACTGAATACACTGTGAAAAAGGAAAAAGAAACATAGGGATAGGGTTAAATTTTTTTCTGCTTTCACAGTATCAAATTTAGTCGTTAGCAAGAAACATTATTTGTGTGTGGTTCTTATGAACTTGTATCTTGTGTATTATGTATGGTGAAAGTTGCCTCACAAATTACGTGCATAGAGTGATTTGTATGAGAAGTTTTGGTAATATGCTTCCAAGAAGATTTCCTGAAAATTTACAATGCATTTTGTGAAATGGTGTTTTTATAGTAAATTAGTAATTTAGTGAGTTTTTAATAGCACATTTAATGTCTGGAAATGACCAGTTTGTCATTTCTCCCTACAATTTAAATGTGTGATCCAGCAAGCAGGCAATAAAAATAGACACACTCGCAATCTGAGGGTGTTAATTAGCAAATGTCAAATTCTGGGATCTCCAGCTAACAAAAAAAAAAATGTATAATTCATCGGAGAATTGCAAATTGCATCCAAATTGCTAAAGGTTCAAGAACAAAATAATGTCAGAGTTCTTAATAGTTAAGGGTGAGGACACCCAGTTTTCATGCGATTTGTTCTTCTTTGTTACTCATAAGAACTTGTCTGTGTGGATTCAAAGTTGCATGAATATGTGAATGCAGGTTCTTAAAATTTCTCTATTTTGCAAGGTATTTACAAAAGGCTGGATAAGGTTAATTTCTTCCATCATGAAATGTGGCAGAAGATTGTGTCTGATGGGCTACTAAATTATGATTTAAGAATTGTGCAACATAAACATTGTACTGGCAGTGCTACTCATCTTTTGCTGTCATAAAATGTGCTTGGTAATATCCAAGAGTGTGAGATGGGTATTTGTTAGAATAGTTATTCCTGTTGAAAACAGTAATATAGGATCATGGATATTATTATTATTTGGAATTGTTGTACAAATGTGTTGCTTCTTATAAGTGAGTTGCTTATGTTGACACAAAGGTAACTGGTCATTTCTGAATGTTAATATTTAAAAAATTGCAATCATTGGAACTTCTCTCTTGTAAAATTGAGACTTTGTGAATAGAATTCTCTTAAAGGGTGGGATTTTTCGGACAAACAAGAAAACTTGTAAATAGCAACTTACACTTTTTTTCTCCACTCTTTTAGCTCTGCTGTAATCTTTCAGTGCACGGGAAAGTTTGGGTACATTTTTAAAAACTGTTTGAAATCTTGCAAATCTGTGGTTTCAAGAGGTGTTTGCAGACCTGAAAACAATTTTTAAAAATGTAGCGATGGACTGCCTGTGAATGTCAGTTTGTGTGGAAAAAGTATTGCATTGATTTACTGTGTAATTAAAGTTTGTGTTTGAAAGTTTATCTCTTGAGTAGTTTTGACTAGAAGGATCAAGCGAGGTGACTAAGTTGGGTTAATTATATACAGCACAGCTGTCAAACACCTTTCCAGTGGTTACCTGGATATAACCAGATGCTGGCTTGATAGAAGTCAACTTTTTAATTTAGGTTGCCCAATATTTGGTGTATAATGTGGCAAAGTCAATTTCAAACAATCCCACAATATTTGCATTTGAGGTTTATTTGTAAATGAGGTAAATTTGTATTTGAGATAAATGTCAGCCAACAGTTGATTAAAAGGCAAGCTTCTGTTCAGCAGCTACTTCTAACCTCCAAGTCTCATGCAATAGCTGCTCCTTCCCTCCCCCCCCCACACCTTATTCATTGTTACTAACTCTGCCAAGGGAATTTAATTTGTTGGTGGGGGGGGGGCACAGAAAGATCCCTGTAAGGCTTTTACCTCTACTGCTTGTGGTTAGAGCTTTGCTGTAGCCAAAAATTGTCATAATTCATTTTCAAGGAATGAAATATTTGCAATGAGATTTTGAAAGTTGGATTGAAGAGTTTTAGTCCTTTTTTTGTTTCCTTTAGTGCTGACACTCTTCTGCTTAGGCCAGAGACAGAAGCATTGTCAAGTGATGTTGGAAAAATCAAAACTGAACTCAGAGACATTCTGGCTGTAAGTCAAGGAAGACTTTGCTCTCTCATTTAACTCACACAAAATTGGGCCACAGTTGACCTTGAAATTTTTGTCTAATTGTTCAGGATTTTTTAATTGTGTGTTCCCACATAGGCAATCTTGATGTCGTACTGAAAAGAGGGAAAATTGCTCTTGTCACCATGACACACCAAACCATGATGATTTTGCTTTCTGATATTTTTTATTTTTGTTACAAATAACAAATGAGGATTACAGCCTCCATGCTGACAGTGATATTGGCCATGATTCACAAGGAAACAGTTGCCAGGCATCACATAACCAAGTCCTTCATCCTCAAAGCATTTTAATGCTTTTGATTTATAGACTACAACTCATAACTTCTTTTCAGTTTTCAGTTTGTGCTTCCAGTCTCATTCAGCCTTTATATCCTTGAACTAGTCCTTCAATCTTCTAACTTGATATTTGTCAACAATTGATTCACACAGGAGACAGAGAGACTTAAACAAGAGCTGACTCAACACCAGCTAGTCAGGGTAAAAAATAATAAATGTTTGAGTTGACTTTCAGTATGCAAGTGCCCCATATTGTTCTTAAATGAATTGATTCAGGGCTGTAGCCAGACTTCAGAACAAGATGAGGCAAGTTTAAGGTCTGGCATGCCCCTCCCTTCCTCATCTTGCCTCATGCTAGTTATGGCCCTGTCATTGCCAACACGTTAAATTCTTGATTGTTAGACAAATTCTCCTTGTAAACACCTAGGGGAATGTATTAATCTCCTGACCTTAATGCTAGATTTTAAGGGGTAATACTGTTGGGAGAAATTAGATCTGTATCACTGGTAGGCTGGGGTTAGAGAGCTAGTATAAATTCACTAGTTGTACACATATGATAAGAATTGCAAGTTGCTGTATTTAAATTAGAGGCACCTTTTTTCTTATCTATTCAAAGTCGTTTTGAAATAAGAGGGGGTGGCCATAAGTAGCAAGGAACAAGTAATTTATACAAAAAGAGGGAAGGGTTCATGACTTTTTTGTGTATTTACTTTTGTTCGTGTTGAAATAGTTCCCATGATTTTTAAAAAATTTTAAAATAAAATATTTTTACTAAGGGTGACCCAAACTCTGGTGTACTGCAAGTGGTACCTATTGGTGATGGTCCTTCACCTTTAGATGAATATTTGGTAAGTATAATATGATTATATCACAGTTTTTAAAAATTAAGCAGCCAAATAACATTGATTAAATAGGGTATAAGTAAAATTACATCAATCAGTTTGCTAGTCATATGCTGTATAATCATTGGTTACACACAATTGTTTGAGTGAGAAATGTATCACTGATTAGATGTGAATAATTCTACCTAAATCTAGGATTAGCTATGTGTTATTTAATTTTGTATGTATAGCTGTACTTTGCAAGTTATTGCAATCAACTCCATGCGATTAAGTGAACATTACATGGTACATGGAAAATATTAAATTTTATTTGCATGGGCAAAGCAAACTCATCAGTTCTTAGTCACTACTTTTGTTCATCATTAGAAACAATCAATAAGTTTTTTTTAACCATCATTTATTTCTAGTTACTGAAACATAACCAGTGTTCAGTTGCTAGAAATGTTTGGCTGCATGAGACATGTAATGTTTAAGTCTCTTGTAACACTGATATGAAAGTCATTCCCACTGATATCTCATGGTCTTCTCCTGCCTTGGGGAATAACCCAATGGCAGTGATTGTATAGCTCCAATCCTGATTGCATTTCATCGTTCAATAGGAAACCACACATAAATCACACCTGCCAAGAAAACCTGTGACATCAAGACCATCAGGTAATTCTTGAGTGTCTTACATTACACTTTACATTACCACAATTACACTTTACATTACACTTTACATTACCACAATTACACTTTACATTATACTTTACATTACCACAATTACACTTTACATTACACTTTACATTACCACAAAGAGTGGTCTGACCTGGCCACAGACTGTGGTACCTGGCGCCACACAATCAACCAAGCCACTGCTCAATTTGAGAAGGATAGACGTGAGGTACTTAAAGACAAGCGTCAGAAGAGGAAAACCCGCGCCGCCTCCACCTTCACTCCTGACACCACCTTTCTCTGCAGATACTGCCCCTGGATCTGCCTTTCCCGCATCGGTCTGGTCAGCCACGAACGTGCCTGCAGCCAATGTCAACGTGGACAACCTTTTTAATCTTCGCTCGCGAACTCAAGCCAACACATTACACTTTGCATAATTTCTGACTGATTATTTTGTTTGTGTGAGACTTAAGGGTCAGAGGAAATTGAACATGCGTAACAAACAATAAAAATTCAGTGATAGAGTTGGGAACTTTCTTGCAATGTGAGTGGCATTTTTCCTCAGAAAATTTTCACCTGTAATGGCTTAGAATTTTTATTTTTTTAGGGGTAATGTTGTTGTACATAGCTGAAGACCTCTCAGCCTTGCTACATCTTTGAGAGTCCTATTTGGTGTTAGAATCTGCATCAAAATTAGTTGACGTGAAGTGTTTGCAAAGTGAAATTTAAATTTACCACACCTCAAAAGAATTCCCCTTCCTCTTCAGTGCGACCATTTACCAAACTGCTTCTTCCGACATTTTATAGGGAATTCATCCATGTACATGTAGCTCATATTGATAAATATTTCTTTATTCAATTCCTTTACAGGCTTTCTGCCATCAAAGTCAGCGCACTACTTAGCTGATGCAGAACACCTCCTCCAAGATGTCCAGTATCGACGACAAAATCTGGACAACAATTTGCAATCTCTGATAAGACGAAGAGAAGAACACGATTTGTACAATTTTGTGGATAGCATTCCTTCATCTAATGGGTAAGATTGAAAGAGCTTGAGTTAATCCAGTGTTAAGTAAATGCTAAACACTGTAGTTCAAGAGCTTCTTTAGTTGGTGATCATTTTCTTTATTCTTGAGACCTAAATGTTTGATTTAGGCGTTATATTGAAAGGAGAAATTAGATGCTAGTCATGGTAAGGGGTCAAAGGGTGAAATCCAGTGGTGAAATTATTGTTATTTTTTGTAGCGAAGTTGATGAGATGCTGAGAATAAGGAGAGAGGTGGATGACAAGATAAAAGAGATGAACTCTGCAGTGCAGGTAGTTTTCACTGGCAGTATCTAGGATTTCTCTTTATACAATACATATATCTTATTAACCAAGCAGGAGGGCCGTACTGGGAGAACATCGGCCCGAGGTCTTGACAGTACGGACCGAGAGCAGCGAGGTCCGTACAAAAAAGACCAAGAGCTGATATTCTTCCAGTATGGTCCCGAGCAAGCTTGGTTAATAAGAGATTTATTATACGACTGAAGTTTGAAGGGACACAAGTGCGGTATCATTCGGGAGAGTGCCCGGTCCAATACTTAGAGAATATTGGACAAGCAATAGAGCATTTTGATTGGTTGATTTTAGTTATTGGCCCTCTGACTGCCCCAGTCTTGTAATAAAATACAATATTCTTTATTTAACGAAGGTGACGTAATTAACCCAAAGAGTTATCTAACTTACGGCCTTCACAAAAATGCAAAATACACATATAAACAATGCCTAATCAGCAATATACGACTTACTACAAGAGAAACTAAAACTATACAAAATTTGGTTCAACATAGATGTAAGGTGATAAACACTAATTACCTTCTAACACAGTTACAGTAAAGAGAAAAACGACACCCATAACACATTAATTCTTCAAGATGAGAAACATTGCTAACAAACTTAAGGTATAATACAAGAAGTTTATGCTTAAAATTATTTAATCTAGATGAAAAAATAGTAGAGGAAGGAGATACACAAGCTATTTGCTTAACATCATAGTCAAGGCAATTGAAAAAGGTGGCAGCAGAGTAAGCAAATGTGCGCTTTGCCGAATTAGACCACGGGTAGGGAACTTGAAGATTAAAAGAGCAAGCCCTGGTGTGCAAACCAGTTGGACGAACATTAGACAAGAAATTGAATTTGCGTTTAAGACAAAAAGGAGCGTCAGGATTATTGAGGATAGTAAATAAAAGTACAAGTTTTCTTAGTTTTTTAAGGTCGAAAATAGGAAGCCATTTGAGTTTGAAAAATGAGCTTACAGGTGATTGAGTGAAGTCGGCATCAAGGAGCAATCTAGCTGCACGTTTTTGAAGATGAATATCTTTGTTTAGAGAAGGACCCCATTTTTTCAAAGGAGCCAAAAAACATAACATCATAGGCTTGACTTCTTTTTTAATCCTTTACACTGTACCTTAAGCCCTGAAAGCTGTCAGCACATTTTACACGTTTTTCCTAACCTTTTACACTTCAGCATTGAGAGGCATTTTCTCTCCACTGTTCTCTGTTCATTCCTATGGGATTGACAAGGAGAATTTGTTTAACAAATCAAATACTATTAATGTCAAATAGAAGAGTATAGTAGAGAAGAGGAAAGTGATTGTGTAGCAAGTATTTAGTGGAAATAAACATCTTTTCCGCAGAGGGAAATTGATCTTGAGGGAAAAGGTGCTCTGGAGCAAAAACAGCATTCAGTTTCCTTGAAGAAGCAAAATTCTCAACCACAGAAGGCAATATCATCAGGGACAAAGAGAGTGGAACCAAGAGTTATAGCAAGGTCTACTGTGACAGGAAATAAATCAGGGGGTAAAAGTACTGGGAAGGAAAATTTACCACAGAAAACTGCTGTCAGGAGAGGCAAGGCAAGTAGCCATTGCACTCAGATTCTTGAGCTCTGTTCCCACCAAACTGGGTTTTCTGTGTTGGTTGAAATATGTCCAGTGCTTAATATTCGTTTTCTTTTTTTGCAAGTTTGGGATAAACAGAGTAACCTACATTCACACAAAATCTTGGATGGTGGTTGGGGTTGGTGGAGGGGGCTGGGGAGCAGGAGGAGACTGGGGAGCAGGAGGGGGCTGGGGAGCAGGAGGGGACTGGGGAGCAGGAAGGGGCTGGGGAGCAGGAGGGGACAGGACTATGGTTTGAGAGGTTTATGTATGAGACTTGGCTTATTAGGTTATTGCATTGTGTTCTTAGATGAGACACTTTGCTCTTTTAGTGCCACCTGGGGGCTAGGGTTAGGGTTAGAACTACCAGAAAAAGCTATTATTAAGGGTGGTGACCTTCAATGGACTATTGTGTTGAGTTTCCCCCTTGGGGGCTAGGGTTAGGGTTAGAACTACCAGAAGAAGTTGTTATGACAAATGTAGGGGTGGTGAACTTCAATGGACTATTATGTTGTGTTTCCCCCTTGGGGGCTAGGGTTAGGGTTAGAACTACCAGAAGAAGCTGTTATGACAAATGTAGGGGTGGTGATCTCCAATGGACTAGTATCCCATCTAGGGGTGGCTTCATGTGAGGAAAACTGGGACTGGGGTCAATTGAGCGCAAGATAAGAATACTCTGCTATAACAATGGAAGCTTAACAGCCCTTAAAATGTTTCCTTGCAGTCTACAAAAAGCCAAGTCCCTTCCAGACAGCCTGCCAGAGTGACACCAGCGCAGAAGGAAGTGTACCTCTCAAGTGTTTATGGCCGCCAACCTCACTATCCACAGAGGACGACGTCCAAGGCACCATACCTACACTACCAGTCTCCTGTGAACCCCAAGACTGCTGCAGTAATGGCAGGGATCATGGCCGGTGACAGCAAGCTTCCTGGAAAACCTGCTGTGCAGGATTTGACCAGCTTTCTAGGACAAGAATTAACAGAACCCAATGGACCAAAGGCTGATGCCAGGAAACCTGTGCACGGTTCTGATGGGAAACCTTTCAAACAAAAAGAAGACATGCAATATTTCTTTCACCCGAGGGTGGACTTGTCACAGGTTGGCGAGGGGATGTCTCGGGTTGGCGTGCCATTGGAGGGACAATTAGTGCCTATGGCTATACCCCTGGGGAGACCCAAGACTAATCCAGCATTACGACCTCCCATTGTCACGCAACAGCCACAATACACAACTCATGAAGAAGGTAATATTCCATTTTGTTGACAGCCCCAAATTGTCACGCAACAGCCACAATACACAACTCATGAAGAAGGTAATATTCCATTTTGTTGACAGCCCCAAATTGTCACGCAACAGCCACAATACACAACTCATGAAGAAGGTAATATTCCATTTTGTTGACAGCCCCAAATTGTCACGCAACAGCCACAATACACAACTCATGAAGAAGGTAATATTCCATTTTGTTGACAGCCCCAAATTGTCACGCAACAGCCACAATACACAACTCATGAAGAAGGTAATATTCCATTTTGTTGACAGCCCCAAATTGTCACGCAACAGCCACAATACACAACTCATGAAGAAGGTAATATTCCATTTTGTTGACAGCCCCAAATTGTCACGCAACAGCCACAATACACAACTCATGAAGAAGGTAATATTCCATTTTGTTGACAGCCCCAAATTGTCACGCAACAGCCACAATACACAACTCATGA